GGCTGCAGCAGGCCCTTTGCCACCTGCTTTATTTGTCTCCCAGTCCTGACGTGGCATCAGACAGGTGTTAAACTACTTAATCACTTTAAAATTGTTTTAATTTTCTGTTTTGTATTGATCTCCACAGCACCAATTAATCAGCTCACTGGACCAGGCAGTTAGTACATTAAAAATTGTCAGCCATGCTGGGCAGCTTAGAAAATGTCAAAAAAATATCCCGACAGCAGCCTCTCACTTCTCCCACCATGAGGAGCCTGCTCCTGCCCAGCACTGCCTCTGCCCAGAGATGGTGACACGGCTTTCCCAGTCCTGCGCGGGGCTGGGGGCCACGGGGCACGCAGTCTCCACCCCAGCCCCCCGTACCGCGCTGTCCACGGGACCTGGACTCCCACCTCCTTGCAAAGGGTCCGTCAGCTCTGCCACCCCCGGCGCTCATCCCATCGAGGCAGCAGAGGGGCTGCACGGCCGACACAGAAGGGTTCTGAGCCCCACGCTCCTGCGGGACCAGACTGGAACTTGTGTGGCAGAGGGGAGATCAGTCTTCCCTAAACCCTGGCAAAGTGCTGCTGAGTGGGCAGAGCTCCTATCCCAGTACATGCCAGAAAGTGACAGATTGGAGAGGATGCGAAGCCAAACGTGGACCTTCGGGACTTGGGCAGACAGATCTCACCACTGCGGTCTGCAGTCCCGCACCACGGCTCCACATCACAAGTCTTGTGCTTTAGGCAGCTGCAAAGCCCCAGTGTTTTGGGGGCTCCGGCCCTCCCGCGGGGTTGGACTTGGGCATCAGCCTGTCCTCAGACGTTTCCCGCAGCCACAGGGCAGTACAGATTGGGTTGGAGGCCCCAGCACCTCCTCCATGCCTGTGCCACGCTGCTAATCAGCATATGATGGGCAGGCAGCACCTTATCTCCTATCGATTTCCTCCCAAGACACGGCTGGTTTGTTTGCTCACACCTGGCTCACTCTTAGCTGGCTCTGGGCCAAACAGCCACCAAGCTCGCTGGGCCCCCAGCAGTGCCAACAGGACCCCCTCCTTGGCATCCTGAGCAGCTGAGGACAGGCCTGTGTGGCACCCACCACCGGCATGTGAGGGCTGAGCCGTGGGCAGCCAGAGGGGAACCGTGCAGACCCACACACACATGTGCATGTATGTGCAAAGCCTCCGCTGCACTGAGAGGGGGCCACCAAGTTGGCAGACAAACACACCGGGGCTATTGAAGTCACATTAATCCTGCAGTCCCGACAGGTGAATAGGCTCTCACTCACACCGTTAAGATAAATGATATTTATTTACTGCTACGAGGTTCCAACAAGAGGCCCCAACAAGTGACTTTTGAACCAGCACCTCTTGCTGCTGGTGAACGCCCAAACCAGGGAAAACTCCAGGAAGCATCCCCAGTGCTGTCCCGCTCCTGTGGGCTCTTTCTGACCCATACACAGCACCACAGACACAGCCCCTTCCCCTGCCTGGCATGCAGACCCTGCCCCGTATGTGCTCTCCCAGCCCTTTCTCCGGCCCAGCCTCACCAGGGCATTCTGGACCACATGCCCGTGAAGCAAGCGTTGGGACTTGGCTGGGACCTTTATTTCATCAACACTGACAGCACGGCCGTGCCTGACGCTGCCCAGGCGTGCTGCTCCCAGCCCCATAAGCTGCA